ACTAGTCGAATACGTAGACTTCTACAGGGCCTTCTAAGTAATGCGCGCCGGGTATAATTCAAACCTCTGCCCCCATCGGTACCATTACCCCTAAAGCAAATCGTCTCCAGGAGACGAAATCCACGTTTCAGGCGCACTCAGCCACTGTGATTGTCACCAGAGCGGTACTAGCTAGTACCGGTGCCATACGTACCACCACCGGGTATGATATTTCCTCGTTCGTCATCTTTTGCTTGCCCCCCTCTCTGCTACGGTAGCTATGTGCTAGATACCGTAGCTATGTGCTAGATGTGGTGCTACCAGATGCAGCATAGATCGACCATGTGACTACACATACCCTTTATTGTGTCGTACGACGCTGTTGTGGACCCTCAACTATATTGTATGCCTACGTAGCAATTCTTATCTAGCCTACAAGGATCAAATGGAAGTTCTCTCGGTTTGTCATAATAAAGCCACATCCTTTCCCTTTCAACAATCAGACAAAGAGCAACATTCGGCTCCTTGTTTCATCAAGCGCAGCTTCGTTTACTTTGCTTTCCGAATGCGTCTCGTCTTCGAGCCCTTGATGCTATTGGAACCCTCACAGTCTCGGATTGTTGGAGGCGCGATTTTTGGCCGAAAACTTGACTTTTCTTTCGCCTCTACTGTACCATCGACCGAAACATTGACTTGCACAGTTTTCCATGCTCTTTCGACTGGTGCTATCGATATCTATTATCTATTGAGGTGCAGATGTGGTGGGGTATAGGGTTTACCAAGTCCACGTGGACCATACATGTACCGTATGGCCCACGCAGCTAAACTGCGCCTCTGGAGCGGTAGGGATGGTGGATTTTCCGGAGTGAAAGAAGTCCTGAGGAAACCTCACCATGGATTGGCGATTGAATCGAAGCAAAATATTCGATTGACCATGCTAGCTAGCCAGCATGGAGGAGGAGGAGATGATGAAGAAGCAACTCTCAAAACGGACGACAGACGTACGGTACTTGTGGAGCGATCTTAGAAATTGGTCATCATCAAGGGAATTGTGACTTTGACAGACACGCATCTCTCTAGCTTGACTCAATCCATCCAGATTTAGTATATTCGTGCACCGTCTGAGGGCCGGAACGATGGGAGGAAGGGTAGACTTTCCCACAACAAACAAAGCAACAAAGATCAGCTCAAAGATCCATACATTATCACTTTCTTTGTTTCTTCAGAAGTAGACCTAATCGAACATACACAATGGCCAGTATATTCACCGATGATGAGAAAAAACAATTCAAGGAGGTATGGAAATTGTTCGATAAGGATGGTACTGGAACAGTCGCAAATAAGGACGTCGGAACAATGATACGAGCTGCGGGAGAGAACCTTACCGAGGGTGAGGTTATGGATCATGTCGCCGACACTGGCGGTTCCGTTGATTTCAATTCTTTCCTTGAGATGATGGCGAAGCAGTCAGCGGCGAGCAAAGACTCTGAGGAAGAAATCGTAGAATGCTTCAAGGTTTTTGACCAGGAGGGAAAAGGATACATTGCGGTATCAGAATTGAAGCACATCATGACGAGCCTTGGAGAGAAACTCGACGACGATGAGGTTACCGAAATGGTTTCTGAAGCTACTATTGAGGACGGTAAAGTGAAGTATGCAGAATTGGTCAAGATCTTGATGGCCGGTTAAATTTGCCTTCCAACCTGGGCTTTTCGTAGTGTTACAATGATTCCCTGAGTGCCATCGAGGAAGCCGCCCAAAGTAAGTTTAAGTGCTAGAATTTCTTAGTCTGAGTTGCGGTATCATAGTAGCAATAGTTGTGTATGGAAGCTGGAGAGATGACACATGACTTGCATGTTCGGTGGAGCATGCAATGGTATATTATCCGATTGTCTGATTGCAGCAAAAAGGAGCTATCAGAACTCCACAAGAGGACCATCAACAACACAAGCGACAATCTACCCTCCATGGACATTTAAAGGCGGAATTTGGGACTAGCTAGGTTCCGAGGGGATCAGGGGAGATTAGGGCCGACAAATTGAGGACCAACTCAGGGGCCAAAGGCTTGACTTTCCTCGTTCGTCCTCGTTTGCTTGCCCCCATGTGGTGGTACTAGCTATATGCAATAGTTCAAACATGTGGCTACATATACGTGTTGCTGTGCCGTTTGAAGCTGTCGCAGTCGTTTGCTCCACCGGTACTAGTGGATTCTCAACTACCGTACGGTACATTGCATGTTGTATATTATATTCGTACTTAGTAATGCTTATCTAGCTAGCCTACAATGAGCGTGAGCCGTGAGCCTTTCAAAGATCAACAGGAAGTACTTTCGATGTGTCCTAATGAAGTAACATCGTTTCCTTTCAATATTCACACAAAGAGCAACAGTGGGCTCTTTCTCCCATCAAGCACAGCTGAGATTACATGGCTGGCCGAATGTGTCTCATCTTTGAGCCCTTGATGCTCTCAGGACCCTCACTGTTGGTTGCTACTGCAACTTCTTCAACGAGAAGCCTGACAATCCAATATCCTTCTTTGGCGTGATCCGGCTCCATAATCTCCACAAGTTCGCCATTCAGATCTGGCATGTGTTTGAGACCAGGGACCAACTGCATAATGTCTCCTGGCTTGATCATCTTTCCAGGACGGCATGCCTTTTTGTGACCAGCTTTCCAAGCCCGTTTTTGACATTCATGAGAGCAGTAGTACATTGACATGCACCTTGGACAGGACTTTAAGCTAGATACTTTGAGCTCCTTGAGTGTCTTGCCGCAACAGTCACAGGCCCCACCTCCAACTTCCAGCCGACGCGCCAGCTCTGGCTGATCTTGAGGAATCCGACAAATGCATGCCTCGTTGTTCATGTACTCGACCGTGTAGACAAAGCAGTTCGTCGGTTTGCTATCGAGGCCTGGAATTTGCGTCACCTCGAGCAGACTCATGGCGTTTTTTGTTCTTCGGCGCTGATCAATCATCTCGTATCGCATCTTTCGCTTCATCTTCCAATCAACAATCACTACCAAGTCCTTTTCTCTCGCAGAAGCCTTCAGACCCAACGCATCTCGGTAATAATCGGACGCTAACTGCCGATCTCCCTTGTACGAATATAACACTCCCAGCCCACGAAAGGCAACCATCCGAAACAGAGCAAACTCCTTCTCGCTAGCCGCAATCTCTACCAGCGTTGCAATGTCTTTTTTGTTGCTCACAATCTTGACAGTAAGGGCGTCTTTTTTGATGACTTGCAGAGACCTAACATAGCCCCTGAGATAGTGGAAGCGAGGACTGTTCCTGGACCATTCGCGAGGAGTATTCCGGAATGCTTCCAAGTACGAGTCGGCGGCTTTTCGGTAGTCCTTTTGTCGCATTGCGCGATTAACCTTGAGCAGTGTCTTTTTATACTCTTTTCTTGCCTTTCCCTTTGTCACCGACGGTGCCTTGGTTGTGGAAGTCTCAAACTGGAGAGCGTTTGGCGTTTGTTGACTTTTGGTGGTCCGGTGCCGCGTTAGTTTGAAGCTCGTCATTGCCATTGTGGATGTTTTGTGCGTTCGCCAGATACATCAAGCAATGACTGCAAGTAAGGACGCCTTGTCCTCGGTAAAACTATGAGCTTGCGAACTCAGAGCTTAGTCGAGGCAGCCAAAGACATGAGACCTCAAGATTTGACAGATTAACGGTTTGAGCGTGGCGTGGGCATCGAAACGTGGAAATCTTCGCCGTTTCGAACCATCACCAAGAATCGATGGAAGCCATCCCTTCAAAGAGGGAAGAGGGGGTTTCTATTCGATGATGAGGCGGCGTTCCCACTACACATCGCTTGTCTACTCCTGTCTATGCCTTGTCATCTTTTATCATCTCAAGAAGCTCTCCATTAGGGCCTGGTCCCATCCACCAATGTCGTCTTCTAAACAAACCAAAACCAGAAAAGGGAGAAGCTCGGATGCAGCTGCATATCCCAAGACAATTTACCTCATTCGCCATGGCCATAGTCAGGGGCAAGCCGCCAAGCAGAATGGTCTCGATCGCAAGCGAGATCCCCAGCTCGTGGACTGCGGATTGACAAATAAGGGCATCCATCAAGCCCATGAGATTCCTTCAATACTGCAGAGATTGAACGGTCGGCAACAACTGCCGAAAATTGATTTGGTGATATCTTCTCCTCTTACCCGAGCAATGGAAACAGCTGTTCTGGCATTTCAAAAATTCACACCTCAACCACCTCCCTTCTTGATTCATTATGGACTGCGAGAATTGGGGTCTTCCATCCCCGAAAATCATGCCCGTGGGAATATTGAGCATACCTTAGCATACATCCAAGAAAAGCATGGCTTGGTGGAGGGGTTGAGGATCGATAGTGAAACCTTAAAGCCACCGGGTTGGCCAGCAGAGGATGGACACGACCAACATCTGTCAAGAACAGAGCGCATCCCACAAATCTTTCAATGGATTGCCACGCATCGATCGGAACAATCCATTGCAGTAGTGTGCCACTACAATGTTATCCGATCAGCACTGCAGAATGGCGGACCTAAACCCAAAAATGCGCTTCCTATACCTTGCCTTCTTTACCCAGATGGAAGAATAGAGCCATACAGATGACGATGAAAATGGAGGTTGGATAATGCCAAAATTTTTGGTGCCTGTTGCTGATGGCTTGGAAAGACATGGTGCACTTCCGGGGTAGTTGCCCCCTCGCCGTGTTCGGCTCGGCCAAACCCAAGCTGATCGGCCGACAAACGGCCCAACGCGCATGGAAAAGAGTGTGATATCAGTGTCTGGGCACAGACGATACCTACAGAAGGAGGTCACAATATGCATTCCTACTACCGGTATCCCCCTCTTACTAGACCTTCTCAATACCTGAACTTTTGTTGGAAAGACAGATGCTTCCTCCATTACGAGTGCCACAACCAATCACAATTAATAGAGTTACTATGACCTCAGCCCAAGAATGCAATCCATTGGATACGCCAATCGTAATTATTTGCGGAGGTGATGTAACTACGGGCACCCCATGTAGGATTGAGATAAACAACAAATGCATCGTGGGTAGGCTTCATCTGGAAAATGGAACTAGCAGGGTCTCCATATTCGGCCCCCACCACGAGAGAAGTGAAATACGTTGGCACACTCCCTTCTGGAAACTGGCACTTTGATGTGTCCACCACCAACTGAATGGTGTTGAAGCCATGTTGCACCCAATCCGATGGCAAGCTGGAGCCCATGCAGGGTGGCTCTGCTTCAAAGTGTCCTGTTTTGTGCCGAGACTGAATTACGGCAACTTGCTCCTCAATACTCTTCTGATCCGACTGAAGCTGGTCAATCTGAGGCTGCAACGTTCCCACCTCAAGCTCCAAGGCTCCAAGTTCTTCATTGGCCTTGTCTAGAGTAATGCTCAAGGTTTCGTTGTCCTTCTCAACCATGTTGGCTACGTTAGATTCCAGAGCGCGTTTTTCTTCAAGGAGACCTTCGACCTTTGATTCAAGGCTCTGGAATGTAGCACTCCAGACTTCTTCAAGCTGGTCAATGATGCCATGTAAAGATAATCCGACAGAGTCCTCGATTTCAGATTTGAGACTTACAATGGTTGCGTTCATGGAAAGGTTGACTTCGTCTTCGTACTGGGAAACTCGAGCATCGAGGGCTTGCTGCTTTTCTTGTTGACCGTAGCTCTCAGATTGGAGTTTAGCAATAGAAGTGTTCAAGCTCGCAATCGCAGCTTTCCAAGCAGGTTCCCTTTGCAGCTCCATGTCTTCACTTCCTGATCCTTGCTGAATACATGCTTTCTCCTTCATGTTGGCCACATCTGCCTGGAGCCCATGGAGAGTGGCATTCATAGAGCGTTCGTGTTCCTCGTGCTGGCTGATTTGAGCTTGTAGGGAGCTGATCTTGAGCTCATTGTCTTCTTGGAGTTTTGCGATGGTTGCTTTGAAGACTTCTTCGTTCTTCTCCAAGCTCGTTCGCACAAGCTCTAGCTCTCGTTCCTGCAGTGAGAGTTGTTGGTTCATGACGCGAAAGTGATCTCCTGTTGGAGAGTGGGAGATTGTACCCAATAACATGACCCCAAAGATCACAGCAAGGCACTTCCAGAATCCGTCGTTCCAGGGCTGCTTTTGGTCCTGGACGTTATGATCCTTGACGTTCACCACCGCGTTGATGGCAATGCGTTCCTCGTCAGGGTCAAGAGCCAGGAGAGGGGTGCTTTCTCTCAGCAATTGCATGGTGATGAGATTTGTATGCAGAATACGAGTGACAGAGCTAAATCATACCAGCGCGGTGCAAACTAGCTAGAAGTTCCACAACGTTAACAAAGTAAAATGCTAGCTAGCTTTGGCTGGCCTCTGCTGCCATGGTGACACGGTACTTCAAAACCTGGAGCCCAAAACCTGAACCGAATCTGAAACCGAGCGCCCCGACGAAGAGCTTGCCACCCAGATGACCGCCGACCTCAAAAGCGTTCATGGAGAGTTGAAGACCAAGAACTGAAGGCCTCCCATCAACGAAGATTACCACTGAGATAAAGTTACTTTTTATTTAGAGTTGTCTACTAGCTTGGCACCAAACTGGCTGAATGTGCCTATTCTGTTCTGTTTCTTTGTACAATAAGATGAGATTCGATAGTCATGTGTAAACATGCATCCATGAACGCTTGGCTACTTGGCGGTGGTGGTTTCTGAAGGGGTAACAACACCATTCACTTGCTTCAAGAATTTGAACAGAAGCGGATTGACCAGTTCTGGAGCTTCATCATGTGGACAGCTAATTCGATCAGGGAATAAGAGGTAGGAAAAGTTTTGTTGTGTGGAAGTTCATGCATCGTTTTCAAGGGTCAAGAGAACACAGCAATGTGAGTCGTTTTCAGTATTCAAGTATATAGAACTATTCAATACTCACTGTCCCACTCCCTCAAATGCTTCCACAACCTGTACCACGGGTGAAATCTTTTTGAGCGCTTCCACACGACCCCCAGGTGTCCAAGGATCATCCTTTCCGTAGCAGACCCAAACTGGTTTATCCTTGGGAAAGAGAGACAATTGAACTTCTGGCAAGGGCCCGGCACTGTAACTGAGAGTATCAAATACAACATCACTGGCTCCCGGTGTCAAGAGTGGGTCCAACAATACTTGCACCAACGTATCATCGACCGCCGACTGAACCTTGTACGGTTCCATCAAGATTTGTTTGACCGTGTCCGGTTTGGCCAATGCATCAAAGAGCGGTTGTCCCCGATTGCGTAGCAAACTCTGCACCTGTTTAATCAATGGCATGAAGAGTTGTGGCATGGCGACTTCGGCACTGTGAAGCTCTCGGAAATTGGGGGCAATGACGAAAACACCCTTGTAGAGATCGGGGTTATCCAAAACGGCCTGCAAAGAGGAAATGGTTCCAATGGAGTTGCAGACAATGGTCACGGGTCGATCCTTGTCTTTGTTTTGTTCTTCATTGACAATTTGTTGTGTAAAATCGGTAATCAAATCACTCCAAGTGTAGAAATTGTAGGGACTCTTGCAGGGGTGTCGCAATTCAATATCGGCCGTGCGGGTCTTGGTGCCACAGGCACTGCCCAACGACGCTTGTGGTAGAATGGCATCCAACAAGGCGGCTCCTTCGGCCAACTCTTCTTCGAATCGTCGCAACTCGCCATTGACGGCTTGAGCCTCGGGGGACAATGCGGGCGGTTTGCTGCTGTAGCCACAGCCCCACAAGTCCAATGCATACGCTCGATATCCCTCCTGCGCCAAATCCTTGAGGGTTTTACGCCAATGATCACTGTTCACAAAGAGACCATGAACGAGTACCACTGGTGGGCCATCTTTGGGACCATCGACTTGATAACGGATCTGTTGATCTTGCTTCCAATTGTACAGATTGTTGGCAAGGCCTGTCGCAGGAGAGACTTTGGGAGGTACAGGGGTATAACCAGAGACCAAGCAGCACAGAGCTGCAAAAAGCAGGAGTAGTAGTCGAGGCTGTGTCATGGTCTTATTAGCACACATTGGTTTAATGATCATGCTGTCAGCATGCTGCTGTAGAGCAACAGATGATGATGAATGAGTCATTGTGCGAAAAAAGCTGCGAGAAAAGAGCTGTCATCAGCGAGATCTTTCTGGATAAAGATGACGTCCCATTCGTGACTTCCAACGAAAGTAGAAACTGGGAAATGGAAATCGTCCAGCATTGTTTGGCAACAGGGAAAAGGGGGGGACAACGGGGGTTTAGATAGAGGCAACTCCTATTTTGAGTTGTTGTGGCGTAAGATAACAGGGGTATGCGGTACCGTACATGTTGTGATTCCATAGCAGCCACGCCATTTTGATTGATATACAGTGACATAACAATGCCTTTTGCAGATAGGATTTTGAAGATGATGGACGAAGTTAGACCCCTAACAACTAACTAGACTATACTATACTCCTGGCCTGTCTTTTTTAAAAACACTGTCTGGACAAAAAGACTCAGCACCGTTACCAGTAGATGTCAAGTTGGGTCAAGTTGGTTTCTATATTATAATTCATCATCGTCCCCTGGCTGCAGTTGCTGCAACAACTCTTGTTTTCTTCGTTTGCGTCGCCCTAGTTCCTTTCCCGTGCGAAGCCGTTGTTTGTTGCGCGGTTTAGGAGGTGAAAATGCGCCAGTCATGTTTGGATCACAATAGGCCCGGCAATCGTCGGTTCCCGTCATACTGACGCCTCGTGCTTGCAATTCTTTTTGAATGAGATTCCCCACCTTGTTGTTGTTGTTTCGAAAGAGTGCATCGGCCAACCACGCATGGAGGCATTTCAGGTCGGTCGACTCTGGACTGGATCCTGCAACACCGGCCCGCAAAAATGCCTCGGCACCCTTTTCTCCTAGTTTTTGTCGAATTATATCGGAATTATCCTCAGGTTGTTGTGGTTGTTGCTGTAACAGTTTTTGTCTGACTTGTGCATGCAGTGCATGGGTCTGTTGAATATCCTCTTGCAAGACTTGGTCTTGTTTCACGTATCGATCATTCCAGAGTGGAATAATTCCATCATCTTCGAGTGCATCGACGGCCTGAACCAAGAGGGGACAGGTCAATTTGAGCAATCCCGAATTGATTCTTCCTTTTGTATTGGAAGGCGGCAATGGATCCATGGCAAATGCCTGTGGAAATCCATGACGGCAGTTGGTACAAGAGGGTATCCCAATGGCTGCCTTGGAAGGATTGACTTGTCCCGTTTGACGAATCAATGTGGCAATGTCGGCGTCAGACACTGGGATGGAATTGGGAAATTGGGTTTGTCGGAGACTACAAGAAGTGGATGAGGATGATGCCGATGATGATGCTGTCTCCAAACTCAAGCCTTGTACAATGTCATTGTTAAAAGAAGAGACAAGAAGAAGGCTGCATGGAAGGAGTAATCTCATAATGATAGCAATAGATCATAGCTAGAAGAACCTCGTCGTTGTCGTTGTGGGGTCATGCCAATAGCTTTCTTTGGCATGGTTATCTGCAGGTCTGGAGGAGTCCCGGTTGGGTTTTGCTTGGCCTTTTGGGGTGGGTGAGGAAAAACGTCATTAGTGACTCAATAGTTGACACCAAGTGCCAAGTGACTCAATGGGCACCACGAACTTTGCTTCGATTTCGGCAGAGACTGTTGGATGTTGGATCCTTGCTTGGCCATAAATGGAGCAGCCTGCATCCATTGCGATGCTCCATCATCCATGCCCTCTATTAGCTACTAGTACAAGCACTATCAGACCATCAAAGAGAGCACTACTTGTTGTGATACTGCAGTGTATCGGGATTCTCACAACTGTCTCTGGTTTCCACTTGACCAGCACAAGAAGATCCCCCTCTTTGAAGAGATACCCTCGTTTGCCACCCTTGATGCTACAGGCTGCTCCTTCGAATACAGGTACTCCTTCGAATACTACTGATAGAACAAGAGATTCCAACAAGAAAATGAGTAGTTCCCACTCCTGCCAATTTTGTCAAGAAGGATTTTCCTCCCGCAATGCCTTGTTTCGCCATTTGCGAACCACGGCAGACTGTTTTCAAAAGGCATCCAACCAAAATGGTACACTGCAATCAGCACCATCCATTCCCTTGCCCAAACAAAAAATTGGAATTCGATTTGGATATCGGTATCCAACCAAAAACACAACTTCTTCTCTATCAGATGATGCTAGCAGCACAAAAGCTTCTACCACTACTACTACAAAAGATATCCCATTTTACGAACACGCCGCACAACGAGTCCAACAAGTTTTTTTGGAAGCCTTGCAAAAACACCAACCGGTATCATTCGATGAGGATGGACCCTTGACACAGGCCACAATGGCACGATTACGGCACGTGGTATTGGCACAAGATGACGATTGCAGTGCGGCATCCGATGTTGTGGGGTTCCATTATCGAGGAGAAGAACTCCATACCGCCATGGCGGCAAGCATAAGACACGAAATGCAGCAATTATTGGATAACAACACCTGGAGCAGCTCTAGCAGCTCTATTCGAGTGCTCCACGTGGCAAGTCTCCCCATGACGACCAAATTTCAAGCCGAACAGAGTTGCACCCAACGAATCTATCATTATTTATTGCCCATGGATTGGTTGCAAGGAGGAGACGACGTCCAGCAATGGTGGATCCAAAAACCAAATCAACAACACAATCCACGCGCGTACCAACGACGTCCGGCCGTGTTGAAACGGCTCAAACAAGCGTTGCAAGCACTGGAAAGTCGGACACTCGCGGAAAAGCGCAAACCCGAGGACCAACATCCTGAAGAACCACCTGAAGAACCACCGGTAGAACAACCACCACCACAACCTGAAGAAAAAATAGTAGAACACGGTCGCAGCACCATGATTGCCAGTCCGGGACGCTACGGATCACTATGGCAAAAAGAACGGCGCTGTTTTCACAACTTTTGCCACCTCGGGGGCAACCTTGCCAGTCCCAGCCACGATCCCGTCTGGAGGACGGTCGATCGCGCCAAAGTGATGGGATTTGTGGCTTCGGACAACAATGAGAATGTCAATGCAGTGGTGGAAATTCGAGGCGACGGTTTTGTCACGCAACAACTGCGACGCATGATGGGAGCCGTCGTCGCCATGACCAATGGATGGCTGCCGATCGACGATTATGTCCGCATGGCCACACGCCCGGATGTTTGTCTCGAAACGCCACTGGCGCCACCCCAGCGACTCTACTTTTCGGCCGGACGTTTTCATTTCATGGAATTATTGTTACACGGCGGAAAGAATAATAATCAGAATAGCATGCAATTGTTCGAGGAATCTACTCCCGTGGCACAAGAATGGCAACGCCAGTTGCAATTGGACATGATACGACAAGCTTCTTCAAGTGCGCAAGAACAAGAGTGGCTGCAAGAACTCCAGCAGGTCGTGGCTCCCAGGATTCGGGCGCAAATGGAACGGATTCAAGCAGAAGACCAGGAGAGATTGCAAAAGGTTCAGCAACAGCAGCAGCAACAGCACGCCTTTCATGGCGATCATACCACTGTCCGCAACAACCAACCACCACCCGGTCCTTACATAGAGACGGTTTCCCTCTTGCGAAACATTGTGGAACAAGAACAATGGCCTCGGACATCCAAAGCCAGATCACGTGTCATTCGATCGGTCGTTGGCGCGGAGGATGCCACTCCAACAATAACAACAACAGCAAGAACGACAACCTCGTCCAAATTTGCGGGAGAACGATTCCAGAGCGGATCGTTTACCGTGGTCAATTCGGAATTGTACGACCGAAAACTCCCGTTGGGCAATCAACTGTTCCCAGAACTGGCCAAGGCAGTCTTTGATTT